AATATTTATACATTATTTTAGTAGTTATACACTATTTTAATTTATTATTTATTTATTGACTATATTTGCATACTGCCATTTTCAGCCCTCAGGTGACAGAATAATAATAATAATAATAATAATAATAATAATAATAATAATAATAATAATTTATACTTTATTTATACCCCGCCACCATCTCTCCAAGGGATTTGGAGCGACTTACATGAGGCCAAGCCCAACAGTACATCAATAAAACAAAGCAATAAACAAAAACAATAAATCTATATATATAAAAATGCTATGTGCATAATTAGTACCTTAAAAACAAAGGAACCAATGAATAAAATCACACCAAATTTGGCAACAAAACATCTCACAACACAAGGAGTGACCATCACTCAAAAAATTATGATTTTTTTCATTTGGGAGTTGGAGTTGCTGGGATTTATAGTTCACCTACAATCAAAGAGCATTCTGAACACCATCAATGATGGAACTGAACCAAACTTGGTACACAGAACTCCCATGACCAACAGAAAATACTGGAAGGGTTTTGGTGGGCATTGACCTTGAGTTTGGGAGTTGTAGTTCACCTACATCCAGAGATCACTGTGAACTCAAACAATGACGGATCTGGACCAAACTCTACACAAACACTCAATATGCCCAAATGTGAACACTGGTAGAGTTTGGGAAAAATAGAATCTTGACATTTGGGAGTTGTAGTTACTGGGATTTATAGTTCACCTACAATCACAGAGCATTCTGAACCCCACCAATGATGGAATTGATTCAAACTTGGCACACAATTTTCCCATGACCAACAGAAAATAATGGAGAACTGTGTCCTTTGGTTTTGGAGTTGTAGTTCACCTACATCCAGAGACTCAAACAATGATGGATCTGGACCAAACTCTACACGAATACTCAATATGCCCAAATGTGAACACTGGTAGAGTTTGGGGAAAATAGAATCTTGACATTTGGGAGTTGTACTTACTGGGATTTATAGTTCACCTACAATCACAGAGCATTCTGAACCCCACCAATGATAGAATTGGGCCAAACCTCCCACACAGAAACCCTATGTGGGCCACAACAACGTGTGGCAGGGCACGGCTAGTACAATACAATTAAAGAAATTACATATAAACAATGACCAATAAACAATAACACACAAGGATTTAAAAATCTATGGCCAGGACAAATGTAATAATTTAAAATTAAAAAATAAACGCTGGGCATGAACAAGGTAGGACATATCTGGTGTAGGGTATTGAAGAAATAATCCTTCCTGAACGTGTTGTTCATGTAATCCTCGCCACCGGCGGTCTCTCCATACAGAAAAATACTCTTAAGTCCATAGCACTTCTGAAATTTATCAAACCAGCCCTTGCAGGTAGTGAATTTGCCTGATTTGGTGGGAGAGCCAGTTGATGTCGATGGTCAAGTACTGCAAAAACCCGCCAAACAGCGAATATCCCGCAGTAAATATTTTACATTCATAGTTATTGAAAAATGGCGAAACAGCAAGTCCGCGAAAAGTGAACACGAAGTAGCGAGGGATTACTGTATATTTAAACAGCCCATTTCCAGAAGATGTCGATGGTAAAGTACCGCAAAAACCCGTGAAACAGCGAAAATCCCGCGAGAAATATTTTACATTCATAGATATTGAAAAATCGCGAAACAGCGAGTCCGCGAAAAGTGAACACGAAGTAGTGAGGGATTACTGTATATTTGAACAGCCCATTTCCAGAAGATGTTGATGGTAAAGTACCGCAAAAACCCGTGAAACAGCGAAAATCCCGCAAGAAATATTTTACATTCAGTTATTGAAAAATCGCGAAACAGCGAGTCCGTGAAGTAGCGAGGGATTACTGTATATTTCAACAGCCCATTTCCAGAAACAGAACCATCCCATTGAAAGAGCTGGTTAAAGAGCAGTGAACCCCAATTCGACACACCCCGATACCCAGCTAAGCGTCACTTGCAACTGCCCTTCTGCTTCTTCACACAGGGAGCAAACAAGGACACTAAAGCTCCAAGGCAAAGAGGCGGGGCATGCAGGTGACTGGCGGCCATGCAAGCCAATGGCTGTGTGAGAAAGCACACAGATCTCCAATAATAGTCCTAGTGACCCCAGATAGTATCTAAAGCAAGTATGGACAAACTTGGGTCCTCCAGGTGTTCTGGATTCCAACTCCCACCATTCCTAACAGCCTCAGGTCCTTTCCTTTTCCCCCTCAGCCGCTTAAGTTTGCCCATTCCTGGTCTACACACTGACCTAACATTGGTTATGGGCCCAGCACTCAGTCTAAGTGGCTGAGGAGGAAAAAGAAAGGACCTGGGGCTCTCAGGAATGGTGGGAGTTAAAGTCCAAAACATCTGGAAGGCCCAAATCTGCCCATGCCTGGTCTACACATTGACCTAACATTAGTTATGGGCCCAGTGGCTGAGGGGGAAAACGAAAGGGCCCGGGGCTCTCAGGAATGGTGGGAGTTGAACTCCAGAACATCTGGAGGGCCCAAATTTAACATGCCTGGTCTACACACTGACCTAACATTAGTTATGGACCAAGTGGCTGAGGGGGAAAAGGAGAGGGCCCAGGGTTCTCAGGAATGGTGGGAGTTGAAGTGCCTGGTCTACACACTGACCTAACATTGGTTATGAGCCCAGCACTCCATTTAATGGGTTGAGGTGGAAAAGGAAAAGGTCTGGGGCTGTTAGGAAGTGTTGGAGTTGGAGTCCAAAAAATTTGGAGGGTCCGAGTTTGCCCATGCCTGGTCGATACGCTGATCTAACATTGGTTATGGGCCTAGCACTCAGTTTAAGCGTCTGAGGGGGGAAAGGAAAGGACCTGGGGCTGTTAGGAATGGTGGGAGTTGGAGTCCAGAACATGTGGATGGCCCTAGTTTGCCCGTGCCTGGTTTACACACTGACCTAACATTAGTTATGGGCCCAGTGGCTGAGGGGGGAAAGGAAAGGGTCTGGGGCTCTCAGGAATGGTGGGAGTTGAAGTGCCTGGTCTACACACTGACCTAACATTGGTTATGGGCCCAGCACTCCATTTAATGGGCTGAGGGAGGAAAGAAAAGGGCCTGGGGCTGTTAGGAATGGTGGGAGTTGGAGTCCAGAACACGTGGAGGGCCCTAGTTTGCCCGTGCCTGGTCTACACACTGACCTAACATTGGTTATGGGCCTAGCACTCAGTTTAAGCGACTGAGGGGGAAAAGAAAGGGCTTGGGGCTGTTAGGAATGGTGGGAGTTGGAGGGCCCAAAACTGCCCTTGCCTCACATAACTAAATATGATAATAATGTTACTCTCTCCTCCCCCTCTTTCATTCGAAAGCCTAAATCCTGACATAACACTGCAACAGGGAGGGAAAATATTCTCAGTCTACTGACCCCTTCAGAGAAGCCCAAAGGACCCAAACAAAACCCCTTTCTCCTTCAAGACAATGGGCAAGAGAGGATGAAAAGAACCCCGAGTGCATCTGCAAAAGCAAGCAAGAACCAGGAAATGAAGGAAAAAAAGAGGAAGATGTTGTTTGTAAAGGGGGCGGGGCCAAGGGACGCCCCCGCCCACTTCCTCCCGGGCTATAAGGGAGTTAAAGGGTGGAGACTAGCTTACTTCCTGGTCTCCCGGGCCAATGGGACCAAAAGGGGCGGGGCTACGAGACGCTCCGCCCATTCTCTGTTATCGATGCAGGGATAGGGTAGGATTTGGGAAGGGGGCGGGGCCCAAGCTAAGCCCCGCCCATTGCTTCCTTCCAGTCTCCAAGGCCGGCAGGAGAAAATGGAGCGTTTTGAAAAAGGCGGAGCCAAGCAAGCTCCGCCCCATCCAAGCAGGGCCAATAGGAGAAGAGGGGCGGAGCTCAGCACATTCCAATTTTCCTTCCAGGCTAGAAGAGGCGGGGCCAGGTGAAGCCCCTCCCTCTCCCTGCCACTCAAGGCGAATAGAAGGGGCGGAGCGATATTGAACCCCACCCCCTTTCCACATGGTTAATAAGGAGAGATGGAGCGGGGCCAGCTGGAGCCCCGCCCACTCCTCAGTCTCATTGGCTAGGAGGGAAGGGGCGGGGCCACACATAGCTCCGCCCATGCCTTTTCGGTGATAGGAGGAAAGAATAGAAGAGGCGGGGCCACTTTACACAACGATTATACAAAAGGGGCGTGGCTAAACCGAACCCCGCCCACGCTTTTTCGCTGATAGGAGGAAAGAATAGAAGAGGCGGGGCCTCTTTAAACAAGGATTACAGAGAAGGGGCGGGGCTTCTCTAGCCTCTTCGCTGATAGGAGGAAAGAATAGAAGAGGCGGGGCCAGATAGAACCCCGCCTGTCCCTATACCACAAGGATAATACAAAAGGGGCGGAGCTAAACCGAGCCCCGCCCATTCCCTTTACTACAATAATAGGGAAGGGGCGGAGCTAAACTGAGCCCCGCCCATTTCCCCGGACAAATACGACAGAAGGGGCGTGGAAAAGCGAAGCCCCGCCCATTTTCTTTCCCTCGTCTCCGCTGTTTCTTCTGAAGGCTCCAATAAGGGGCGGGGCCAAGCGTAGCTCCACCCACTTCCTTTCCCCAAGACTTGAAGAGGCTCCCGCCCACTCCTCCTTCAAGGCTAACAAAAAGGGCGGAGCCTTGTAGGGACACGCCCACTCCTGCCACCGCAAGGTTAAAGAAGGGGGCGGGGCCACACCAAGCCCCGCCCGGCGCTCGTTTTCCCTCTTCCACAAGGCTAGAGGGAGAAGGGGCGTGGCAAAGTCGAAAGGGGGCGGGGCTTGACCGCTGCGCCGTTTGTGATTGGCCAAGGGGGGCGGGGCTTGACCGCTGCGCCGTTTCTAATTGGCCCAAGCGGGCTCACAACCCGCGAGCGCGTCCTGCCTCAGGCCCCGCCCCCCTCCGGCTGCCCGCGCATGCGCGCTCGGCTCGCGCTCTCTCAAGCGGGCCCCCCCCTCCCCACACGCCGCCTCCCCGCATCAGTCCCTCCGCAGCCGGCCCGGCTCGGCCTCACCTCAGTCTCGGCGCCCTCCTCGGTTCTCTTCGCGGCTTTCTCCACCTCAGGAGATTGGAGAGGCGGGAGGAACGAGGCAGCGGCCTCTGCGCTTCCCTTCGTCGCCTAGGCCCGGGCGCCGAGGCTTCCGCAGCCGCTCCAGACCAACCGTCGCCTCAGGACAGTCGCCGCCGCTGAGCACTGCCCGCTTCTCTGTTCCCTGAGAAATCCCGCCCCGCTCCCCTGCCCCGGGAAGGCC